CTGGTGGGTGAGGGTGGGCAAGGTTGGGGGCAGCCTTGCACACAATAGATACGATAACTATGAATTCCATTTGTATGGGGAACAAATTTAGAATATTCTTCTTTAGATTTGGGGGAGGGAGGTGGGTCAAGACTTACTAGACCCCTCCCCTGTGATAGATTTACTTCTGTACTGCAGAGTCGTGGTTAATTTACTAGGGCTACAATGATACAATTTCTCACGATACAATACATATCTCGATACAAGTGCCATGATACGATACACAATACAGTATATCATTACATACAACTGACAGGTGAAGAAGAGCTGCGACCATGCGTTTTGTCCGTGGGCACACAAGACTGTGTCAGCTGACAAGTAATTGGAACTGCGTATGCCTCTGTGCCGCCATCTTGAAAGATACGTGACCAGAAGTACAAAGCAAAGATGGAACTTCTTTTCCTTTTCCCAGGTCCCTTTGTTTAATAAATAGCATAAGCTTTGAAAGGGCTTGGACTTGGGCAAGGTCTCGTAATACATGTAGACAGTCATTTCTGAATGTTGAATTTTTTATTCATGAAAAAACACAATATCATAATATCGCGATATCTTGTCGTGATATCAATATTCATATTGTGACAAAAAATATCGCGATTCACTGGTGCATCAGTGTATCGTTGCAGTACTATAATTTACTGTAATAACTGTCAAATACTGTATATGTACCATTTGATGACTGTTTTAAAAATAACTGTATTTAGGTTCTTCACTTGGAGTCATCTCTAAGAGCCAAAGAAGATACAGTTGAGAATGAAATGTCCAATTTAAGCTCCAAGCTGAAGAAAACAAGAGAAGACACAAAACAAGAGGTATGAAATTCAGCATTTGACCCACGTGATGTATTCTCTCTATTCTGGGGTTTAATACATGTAGATAAGGGTTCTTTCCCCCAACAACATGCACTTTTTATTGTTTGCTTTGAGGGGAGGGGCTGTGGCCTCATGGTTAGTGTGCTCGTCTCTGGATGAAGTGGTCCGGGCTTGAGCCCTGGCTGGGGACATTGTGTTGTGTTCTTGGGCAAGACACTTTACTCTCACAGTGCCTCTCTCCACCCAAATTTATAAACGGGTAGCAGCGAACTTAATGGCGGGGGTAACCCTGCGATGGACTAGCATCCCATCCAGGGGGGAGTAGAAATACTCCTAGTTGCTTCATGCCACAGATACCGGGGTAAGCTCCGGCCTAGTGGGCCACTTGGCTCGTATGCAGACTTTGCCTTTTTGTATTATGCATAATAGAATTACTGCTTAGCATGTTACAATTTCACCATTTGTTTATTGATATCTTACGTCTCATTTCATTTCTTTTTCTCGTTTATTCTCCATTCGTATTTCAATGTTTATGGTCAATTTCTGAGGCCTGCACTGCAAGACTCTGGTGATGTTCGGAGAACAGAATCTTCACGAACGACTCAAAACATGCTCAGCCCAGACCAAGGTATACCTCTAAACCAAGTGCAGCTGCGAGAGTCTGAATCTGAAGATAGAGATGAACAAGACAACGACTATATCACTCACGTGGTGTAACGGGAAAAGATAACATCACTGTGAGAGAAGGAATTTCGTCCGCGAGGTTTATTTCCTTCTCAGGACAAAAGAAATAAAAAAGAAAAATCGAAATGCCACCTTCTGACATTTCTTGAGATTAGTGTGAAGACATAGCACTACAACCACACTTGCCAATACGAAAGAACAACGGCGAACTTCCCATAACGATTGTCATATTAAATTCTAACAGTTAGATGACTGAAAAAGGTTTATATGAGACCGTTGACGCCAAGACAACGTATCTGATGCAAAAGTAAAAATGTGGAATATAGGATATGCTTTGCTAATCACAGGATCATTTCAGGTATATATTGTTTGTATTGTACATACATAGAGCGGCTAGATGTATATAAATTTTAACATGTAATTAAATAGATGAACAAAGCTGTAGGAACAGAAGTCGTGTGTGTTATTTGTCATATGTTTGTTTGATGTGACTTTGCTGGGGCAAGGTTCACTGCTTTGTCACGCACCTTTTGATTTCGTTTTGTAATGCCCGGATATGGAGTCCTATGAGATGTGCGTTTTTATTGAAAGAGTTCATTGACCCTCTTCTATCGCTTTAAACCTAACAAGACTGCACTTCACAAGACAAGAGCTCTACGACAGTACTCTCAGAGCAAAGCATTGACATCAATCACAAGATGTCGGGGAAACTGAAATGTGCAAATCTGGAGCAGTGCACAGGAAAGATAACAGAGATAAGTCAAAAAATGCATGAATATCCTGTCATGAATTAGATGTTGGCAACTTTAGAGAGAGATGTTGCACTCCTTGATTCTAAATGATCCCGTCTTCGTCTTATTTATTTATTTTTTTTGCTTTTCATTTTTATTGCAATATTTACACAATAGGTTATTGGCTCATTGGAAAGTGATATCTTTTTCAATATCAACAAATCAACCGAAAAAGATGTTGCTTAGTCAATCAATCAATCAATCAATCAATCAATCAATCAATCAATCAATCAATCAACCAATCTATAATTCAGTTTCCAGTTTCGCTTTTCCCGTATGTGAGAATGGAAATTAAAGAAATGGGTTAAATGATAAACAGCCTATAGTCCGAAGAGGGACTAATTAAGGACTACCTCAATTATACTAAGGAGCGGGATTCAAACCAAAAAAACGTTTGTCAGGTTTTTTCTTTACCTATGCAATAACTGAAATTTACTTGAAAACTAGGGACTGAANTCTTATGCAATAATCTAAATTTACTTGAAAACTAGGGACTGAAAAAAAAAATAAAACAAAATGAAAAAAGAGAACAAGTTTAGGACGGACTTTGAACCAGAAACTTTAATTAGCGTAAAAGTTGACTCGAGGAAAAACTTCAAAAACACAACAATGGAGCTTTCTGTTTAAATTAACAACTATTTAAAAGCTTGGTATATTTACTCTACTCTGCTAAAATATAGCAAAAGATCTAGTACACAGCTGTGTTTATATTTATGATTTATACCATGCCATAGGAAATACAGCCAATCAGCAAAAAACAGGAAAGCCGTTGAATACTCAATAATGTTACACTCGACCTTCCCATTGCGCGCTGCATCAATTGTGTTTGCCACTGTATTTTCTATGGCATGGTATAAAATAATTATGCAACACTTTCTCGTGGGATACATACCTCTTACTAGATCCAAGGGGCCAAACGAGGATCCTTAACTTACAGTACGGACCGACAAAACCAGGTTAGTAAGATATTATTATATCTCTACCGTGTGTCTGACGGGTTTGGGGACGATTTCTATTCACAAGAAACAGCTTTATTCACAAATTTCCGACGCACCACGAAAGCAAGCCGAGTCAATTTGAAATCGTTGTTGAAGTGACTCTTAAGTTGTTAGCAGGTTAATATACACAATTTCAGAAGCAAAAGAAAGCTTTAAACTTTCACTTGCTAAAAAATTAAGAACACTTGGCGATAAATCACGAAACATTTTGGCAACAAAAACAGCTTTAACTTTTAACTGGCCGCACAGTAGAATAGCTCGTGTGCTACCTGAGAGATATAATAACATGGAATATCCCACTTGTCACTTGTATTTTCTTCGTATACGCACCGCCTAAGGTCTTATGTGTGTACAGAGAAATTGGCTCGTGGGATAACACAAAACGTTGCACAACCAGTACATGTTTTACTGAATAAAAGTTTGAAAAACATTCTGCCATGGGTGTGATTTAACTCACATCCTCCGCCTGTATACTAGTCAGGGCTTAGACCACAACACCATTCGGCACTAGCAGAGGTGATTGGTGCGGCTTCCTCATGAGCCTCCCGGGATATTTCTTTCTCGATGAACATGAGGTAATGAACTTATAATTGCGGAATTTATTAGCTAAAGAACTTATAACTGAGAACTGAGAATCTATAACTACGTTCAGTTTGTATCTCATCTAAAGGCACGTCGCTAGGTAAACTGGTTACAAGGGATCATTTACAAGGGATTCCAAATACCAGTTAAATAAATTTGTAAGACTCTTAGTTAGCCAGAACAAAAATTTCTTCAACACGCCAGCCTATCGGCGGAGAAGTTTTGACAAAATATGCATTCTTCTTCTTGTATAAAAGTCAAGACCAAACAATTTTGTTTTTCGCGAGCTTAGTGAAGTAATTCCATCCAAGTTCATTTTTATTTCCACTGAGGAAATTTTGGATAAGTGTAAAAAACGGTTTCAAAAGCCTTAGACTATACTGCAACCAATACATGTCTTCTTTTAACATCCAAACGTACTGCAAAGCCAAAATATATCATCACTGCACTAATTCTGAGAGTTATGGGAGTTACTGTTACAATGTCTATACAGTCAGTCAGTACTGTCTTCTTCACTGTTATTATGAAAACGACCGTCAGTTCTCTTACACGACCAAATCTTCAACGTTTGCGTACAACTGCTTGTCATACATTTCCATGT